GGCCATCGTGCTATTACTCTGATTGGAAACACAGGCATGCAGTTACTTAGACAGCCTGGGGGTGTGCCTGCCAAGAGTCGCTTGGAGGGCTATTTCTCAGGTCCAGGACATGAGTGCACAGCTGCTTGGCTGGCATGGGGATGTGTCTGCCAGGGTTGGCCCACAGGGCTATTTCTCAGGCCTGTGACGCAGGCATAAGGATGTTCAGCTGGCCTGGTGGCATGTCTGCTGGGGGCAGACTACAGGCTGTTTATCTTGCATAGGACACAGCTGCATAGCTCCTTGGTTAGCTTAGGGGCATGTTTCCCAGGGGTGGCCCACATGGCTGTTTCTTAGGCCTGGGATGTGGTCACATGACTTCTTGGCTGGCCTGGGTGGGTGTCTGCTGCAGGTGGCCCATGGGGCTATAGTCCTGGCTCTGGGCCCAGGCACACAGCTGCTTGGCTGGCTGGGAGGGCGTGTCTTTCAGGGGCAGTCCGTGGGGCTGCTTTTTAGGCTTAGGATTCAGGCAAAGGGCTGCTTGGCTGCCCTGGAAGCATGTCTGCTGGTGGTGGAAGGTAATGCTATATTTTGGAGATCTTAAAATGAAACTTAATCATGTGTTTTGGTCAGTTTCTCTGATAGTCATGCCTAGGCAAAAGTTACCAGAAAATTAAAGAGTTGAAAGTATCCATACCCGAAAAGTATCCTATGTTATAGTCTCAACCAAATTTTCTAGTTTTGATCTTGCTCAATTGTCCAACCTCATTATGAATTTAGGATCAAAGAATGGCAACATATGCGTTCGTCTGCTTACTCAAAAGTGGAACCCTAATTTCCCTAAAGTACTGGACTGTATGTAGATTCCCTATGACCATCTTTCTTAATTCTTTTTCATCTGACCTGAAGCCTTTATTACACTTTCACGAAAAGAAAACCAAAAAAGTACCATAGGGATAAGGTGCTATTTTTCTATCCTAATTCAGAATAATGGACATTTTCCAATTTTATTTCAGCTTTTCTTTTTACTTCTTAGCATTCCAGTGTACTTCTTAGCCTAGTCTGAAGGCAGGATCACAGGCCCAAGTTTGGGGGCTCCTACCACCTGTGGGTTGGTAAGGATTTAGTAGTGACTGATTTTTGTAAAGGGTGTTGAGAGTAAGCAATCAGAATTCCTTTTCCTCAATCTTCTCTTTTTCAATTTGTACTGCTGCAATAAAAGTCCTAAAAGTATACCAATTACATATTTGGGATAAAGCCAGACTCCTTGCATTATTTTTCTTTGTAATTTTTCTGAAGTGGTTCAGATCTGGAGGAAAATAAGGCAAACCTACAGTATGGCAGAGAGTTGATGGGATGTAGAGTGAACGTGATGCAAAGTAAAAATGAGAAAGGTAAAAGAAAGAAAGAGGGTGTGAAGTTAGTGAAGATTATTATTATGGCATAAAATTTAAAAATGCTATTTAAAGATAAGATGGGAGACAACTGAGAGTTATATCGAAGAACTGAAATAAGCTGGCTCATATTTGGCCTACTTTAAGAGACAATGACTTAAGTGTAGTACAGCTTGAATTAAGTGATTTCTCAAGATTTTTTACATTTGTAAGCAATATGGGGCTGACAGCACAGAAAATAGTTTCTGGGAAAGGAATCAGGAATTTATACATGAAGAAGGAAAAGAGGGATAAGAGAATGAATAGAATAAGAAATATCCCACAAAAAAGAAATGGAAAAAGGTAAAATATGAGATAACAGTAAGTTTATAAAATATGTAAATAGTAGACTAAAAGTAATTTTGAGTTTTAAAAAATGTCTCAAATGATTACCTTGCACTTCTGCTGAACATTTTGTTACGTGTAGGTAACATGATATTGAGCAAGTATACACAAAGTATGAAAAAATATTTGTATTCATCAATTCTATATTTGAATAGAAATTCAATATAGTTGAATAAGATTACCTTCAGTAGAAACTTTAATGTTTCAGATTTATTATTCCCAATTTATAATATAGATACAACTTGATTCTATGTAATTCATGGATAAGATGGTGTAATTTTAAAATCCATGACTGAAGTCTTTTTCTGCCCACAGTCTGTTTCTACTATTCCATGGTACACATTAAGGAAAGGCAATTATAGGAATGGCCTAAAGAAGATAAATCTATTAGAAGTAGGTATCATGGTAGATAAAGCCACATATAAATTTTTTTTTATTACCTTGTCATGTCTTCCATTTATCAATCTGGAATTTTTATTGTTGCAAACTGTCCTAAGCTATGTTCAGGCAAAACCTTAGGATTTGGTGGATGAAGGTTATCAGTTATAATGAAGGGAAGTTTTAGATCAAATTCCATTATAAATATAAATATTCGTAAAATAAGCAAGAAGGCACAAATATTTCATATTCCTTATTTTATAAGCTTGACGACATTCCAACTCTGTTATTTAGGTGCTCTGACAATACTTTGCATGAAGAGTGCACTCAATATGTATATGAAAATATTTGGCGGACAGAATTTATTACCCTTATATTTGTCATCAGGTACCCTAATACTCCAAACCATTGAGTGAACATACAGGACAAATCTCAGATGTGTTACCTAAGTGTACATCCTGCAATGCTTGCTGGGTTTTTGTATGGGTTCATGCAAAGTGGGGCAATGTTTCTGAAATATTTTGGCCAATCTACAGATCTGGAACACCATTAATTTTTTCCTTCAGTGCAATGAAAAACACATTTTTAACAATCATTAGACATTCATTGGCTAATTATCAAGTTTCTCTTTTGTTTATCATCAGAGACAGGCCTAGCTGAAAGACTTTCTGATTAAAGTTGGTTGTATAGAAATTTATATATGTATGTATATTCTCCATACTCTCTCACCTCTCCCTTAGATACCCACTGTTATCCTTCCAGATTTGTATGTATATATAAGCAATCTGTATAATAGTCATACTTTGAAAAAATTCTTTTCTACTATACAAACTATTTTCTAAGTTGCTTTTGTCTATAAGAAAAACAAATCTGGTTTAACATTCAATATTTCAGCCTCTCTGAAATTCTCATAGTTCTTCAGTATGCAATACTCTTTCTAGACTTTGTTCCTTTGAATACTCTATTCTCTACTTGGAATGCTTTTACTTTTCTTTGTTTTAATCTGGCTTAAACTTTAAGACCTGTTTCAGATGCATGTCCTATATGAAGCTGTTTCCTAGTTTTCTATGTGTATTCACTGTTTTGTCTGTATTTCTATATTTTGTATTTAAGTAGGTTATGGCAGTAATCATCATGATAGTCGTTAACAAATACTGGTTGCATAGTGTAAATCTAACTATTTTTACATTTATTTTATGTAATCTTTTTTCCAGATTTCTCTGTAATTTATCACTTGTCTTTTCTTTTCCAAAATAGACCAAAAGTAACTTATTTATCTTTCTATTCCCAGTATATGGCACTATACCTGGGCATATGATAAGTGTTCAGCAAACTGGTAGACCAGTTTTAGGAAGGGCACTGTGGAACTTGGAGATTTAGAAATAGATTCTATTGAAACATCTGTATCTGCGTTACCATGAAAAGTCTTCCTTTACGTTTTCTTGAAGACAGCTAGAAAGGATTGTGGCTATTTAACAATAGGCATAACACACTATGATCGCAAGATAAATTGACTGTGACACCAAGAATATACTTTATGGTGCTTTGGTGAGTACATTAGTACTCTCTCTATATCTTACATTCAAGGGTGTTCCAAGCATTGCAGTCCCATGGCTTGCCAATTGCAAAAGAAGAAACAGAGAGGATGAATGTGTGAATGGTCAGAAGAGAAGTTTATGCAAGAGAAAAAGAAAATCCCTTTGCTCAAATGTAAAATGAGCAGGATGAAGAGTTTGAAATTCTAAAGATAGACACAGGGTATCTCCAGAAATTTTAATGAGTTCAACAACCCAGTGATATGGCTGGTTATAATATTTGTTCCATGAAAATACATTTTGGTCTGGTGATTGATAAGTAAAAATGGGATTATTTACTAACCCTCTACCCTACTAATATTGACTAATCGTTATATACAATAAAAGGGAACTTTTACAACTTGGATTTCACTGTAGTTTGTGAAACTTTACTTTTTAACTGAAAAGCTTTCCGCTTCCAGCATAAAACAGAAGCAAATAAAAATTTTTAGCCTTTTACATTTATTTTTTACTCTCACTTTAGAAACTTTAAATACTTTTGGTTTTAAAAATGTTTACAAGGATATACCAAAAATGCTTAAAATAAATGTTTATATCAATATTGACAGGATTCTAAATGTAATATTTTTAAAATATGCAACATTATGGACTCAATCTTTTGTATTGAGTTATAATGCAGCATGGTATAGAATAAGTCTGACCAACATTAGGAAAGCTTTCTATTGAGAGATTCATTTAGCCTTTTGTAAAATCATCTAAAAATAGTTGTATTTTAGCCATGCTAATTTGCTGGTATACAATTTGGAGAAATATGTAATATCAGTTTTATTCCCATTGTTGTATTACATGATCTTTTCTTCTTTAATAAGAACCTGTGTTAAAGCAACTCCAAATAGTGCCTATAGCTCAGAAGTATAAAATACAGTCTGTGTCTGTAACAGAACCCTATTCCCACAGGTTCAAAGGAGATTGGAAATAAGAAGCTACCTATTTGCACTTTGCAGAAGTAGCAGCAATCTGCAGACAACCCACTCTAGCTTCAAAACAGTATGGTAGATGGTTTTATGGAACTTGCAATTACAAAAATCCGCTTTAACCTTTCTTTCTTACTGGCAGGTGTTCTATTGGCTTGCAGCCAGAGGCTGTGAGTGTAGTGCTGCCTGTGGTGTTCCTCAGCACTGTAGAGTGCTGAAAATGCCAACACTCCAGTTGATTGCTCATAATTGCATTAATTGTGATCTGACAACTTCAGGAGAGAAGTATGATGACTATAGAAAAATATTTTACAAATTTGATCACAGTACAAATTTCATCTCTTTTTTCTCCATAGATATGATATCTGCACTTATAAAAATAAGCCTTGTGGAACACTGGGTAAGTTTTTTTTTTTTTTTTAATTTTAATAAAGATAGAATGGTTCAGATTGTCTTCCTGGACCAGCGACTTTAATCTTTATTATTAATTTGCTCATTTTCCTTTCTGTACATCTGAAATCCCTAAAATCTGTTACACCCAGCCTTTGCAGATATGTCATTTACTAGGAAACAAATATTTATTACTATCATAAATATTATATAAATTTCATTGGCTTTTTTGACAACTGGAATGATTATTAAAATTAACTTAGAATATGATTCAAAATCATTAAAGAATTATAAATTGAGGTTACCACTCATGTTCATATAATTCATCTCTGTAATGTATTTTCTAAAAATACCAAGATTGTGAGAGCAAATGAAAGCAGTCAACATCTTGAAATTTCAGGCTAGAAAAGGAAAGGGGAAAAAAAAAAAAAGAACTAAGGATACTTAATGAGGAGGCACCAAGAACAATACTTCTTTTGGTACAATTTTGTGGAAAGAGTGTAGCCCCATAAGATAGTATTGGAAATTTTATACTACCCAAAAAACAACAACAAAAAATAATCTTATAAAATATTATAGCCACAGGTGAAGAAGGGGGACAGGATTATCTTTCTTGTGCTCCCAAAGGATCATTTGTCTTTTTAAAAGCATTTCTGTAGTATTCTAGAATTTTAAAAATTACACGTTGTTACAGAGCATAATTTCATAGTTAACTGCAAATACAAATGGGCAAAAAAGGTAGCTCTCCAGTAGTCTAATATATTAAGCAACTAGAGTTATTTTAAAGGACAGAAGCTCTTTTTCTCTGATAAATTTTTTAAGGTCATAGAGACTTTTTACAGACTCAGAAGGTAAACAGCTGAAGATGAATTCTCTAGTTTCTCTATGACAAGTCTCAGTTTTCTTAATTGTAAAAGAATAGTTATGAAATTGATTCCTATGCACCTCATAAGCATTTTGGGAAGATCAAATTAAAGTAGATGTAGGAGGAAAAGTGTAACCCAACTTCCTGGGAAGTTCAGTGAAATATCTCTTCAGAAACTAAAATTTCTCTTGATAATTTTACCCGACTTCCCAGGCTTCTCCTACCCATTTCCCTCAGGATTCATGGCTGAAGAAGAAATCCCAAATAGCCAGTGCTGAGTATTAACTATGGAGAAGCTTGCTAGTTAAAAAGCATAATGGAGACAGAGCTCTCTTTGCTGAGCGAGCTCACATCAAAAAGATTTACTTTGTAGTGTTTTAAGCTAACAAGACCAACATAATCCAATAGAGGGGACTCTGAACTGGGAACTAACAACTGGCTTTGACAGTTTCAGTACATTAACTTTTACAGTGTATTTAAGGTCTTTGTTCCCCAGTTTTCTTATCTGTGACATAGGAGTAATATCTGCCCTTATGCTACATGGACATTGTTAAAGTCATTTAAGGAAAAAAATGTAGATATATTTAGTAAAGAGGTAGTATAAAAATGAACTGGTATTATTTAATGTAGAAATTGCCTATACTTTTAAACTTTAGATATAATAGACAGTAGACCTCAAATCAGGTGCACATATCAGCCAAAGCTAGTATTTTTCTAGTATATCTATATTTGAAGAAATGTGTATATATACACATAAACACATTTATACATATACACACATATTCTCTCTCTCTCTATATATATACCCTCACTCTCCCTATGTATATATCTCTCTCTTTATATAGATATATCTATATATATACCCTCACTGTATGTATATCTATATATACACCTCACTATATGTATATCTATATATATAACCTCACTCTCCCTATATATATATACCCTCACTCTCCCTATATATATATATATATATTCTGCTTTTTGAAGGTAGATTATTTACATCGAGATATGCTCTTCGTTGTATTAGATTGGTGCAATTTACTTCGCACCAACCTAATGACATTAGTAAGACACACACACAGTGATTTTTACTTTTATTTTGAGATATAAAGTATTTTGGTATTGCCTAGTACTTTGTCATTATTGGCAAAGATTTGAGGTGTTTTCCTATTCTACTTCTTATTTTATTTTTCTGAAAATAATGTGTTCTAACTTTGATAGTTTATTAATTTATAGAATCAGTACATTAATAGGTATGTATCAATGCACTTTTCAAGCTCAATATAAGTTATTTTTCAAACTATAAACTTGTATATTGTTTTTATACTACTTCTTGTGAAAATGGAATGAGCTGTATATATATTTATATATATCACACACACACGTTTTAACTTCATCTATGGAAAATGTATTATCAGTAGAGAATTGAGCAGATTACTTTTTGACTTGTATTCTAGTCACTTTCATATTGGCTTTTATACTGATTTTTCAATAGTATCTTGCTTAATAATTCTGATGACCAATTGTAACATGGCTAAGTAGGCTTAAGGGTGCAAACTGTGGCCATCAAGCTGAGGAAACCTAAATGACCCAAATAGTAATCAAATCGCCATTAATACAATCACACATAAGAATTTTGACAGTCTCAATTTTATAGGTATACAGAACATTGTGGGGGGTTGTGAAAATACATTCGCATTTAAAATACTTCCATTTTAGTTAAGATTTAGCTTTATATTTCGATGAGTAGGAATTTTCCAAGTATATTCTTTCTGAAGTTGTTGTTTTAGCAGAGATAACAATTTTATAAAGTAAACCTGTGCTTGTAAATACACCTTGAGGAGTCACTGAAAATTCTCAATTGAAAATACAGCCACATGGCACGTACCAAAAAACGACGCAACAACAAACCCCAAAAGCTAACCCATGGAATAATAGATTTTGGGAAATGTAAGAAACTTTAATTTAACAATAATTATTCTTAATAATTCTGCTTTTCTTTTGAAAAAACATACATTTCATAAAGCTCAAAACAGAAACAGTATTCAGAGTGGCTTTGTTCTTTCCATATAATAGGCCATATTGAACCAAATAACTTAAAGCCAGATAATATAATGCAATTTTTAAAAAGATTTCGGGTACTTTCCTATTCTACTTCTCATTTTATTTTTCTCAAAATAAAAGTAAAATTCACTATGTGTGTCTCTCTCTTTCTCTCAGTGGAGATTGGAAATGACATTCATTAAAATATTTTAAATATTTAAACAAATATTAAATATTAACCAAAAATTAAATGAAACAAAAAAAATAAGTTATCCTGCTCCATTTTTTACATTCTCTGTTTTAGGTCCCAATACCTCTAATGAATGGAAGGGCAGCCCAGGGGTATCACCAGTATTTATAACTCTGTGAGGCAGAAATCACCTCCCTCCCCAACTCCTGCCTCTCTCACATAAAACAGTAGGAAAGGCAAACAATCTATTAGCAAATCCAGCATTAATCTCATCTCTGTTCCAATGTAGCTGTTGATACATATATTAGAAAATACAGAGAAACACAACTTCTAGAGCTTTCTTGTCAGTAAAATTATGGATTATATATCATTTATTGTTTCTAATTAGTACAGCTGGGAAATTATACCTAGCACAGAACATTGCTTATTGCATTCAATAAATATTCATTGAATTGAATTGAAATCACTTTTGGTGGGAAAGTAATTATTAATGTTTGGGTGACGATAGTAGACTACTGACCATAAAAAATGTTTTTCCTACTTCTCCTTCAACTTCTTTGAAATAACTTTTTGTTTCTATGTGCATGAAGTATGATTTGGCATCTGTTTCCTTATAAGAGATGACATTTCTGCTTTTGCACAAAAATTCTTTTTTTGAGCACTGTGTTAAAGTTCTGTAGTATTTCACACAGCATGATATTCATTTGAAAGTAAATATTAAAACTTTTACATACTAAAATCCCCAAGGGGAGAATACCTTGAGTAACATAACATTTCACTGGAATCAGCGAATTAACACCATAGTATTTGCTTTATTAGTAAAACTCTAATGCATTGAAGTAGGGAATAGGAGAGAGGAAAAGTGACACTGAATGTGTGAATGACTTTCCTCCCATTAATATACTAAAAGAAATTGTTGCATCACTGTCAGGATTAATTTGAGATGATTAAAAAAATATGCAAAAACCTCCCATCTTTAATGGCTCTCCTTTCCATCTTTTGAATCATTCATTTTATTTTTAATAAAAATATCACTTAAAAAATCATTTGGGATTCCCCCTTTTTTTGGTAACTAGAAAGTTACTTGTATATTTTTATGAACCCACTAAACTTAAACAGATCTCTTTAGAAAAATAATGTGGATATATTTTGCTTTCTACAGCCTGAAGAATGTTAAAATAGAAATGCTTTCTTGAATTCCCTCTTCTGGCTCAAGTTACTAGGTGGTCCCAAGTTACCAGAAGTAAAATTTATAAATCTAACCCCTAGTCTAGACATTTTCCAGCACTGACTGCAGTTCAAAAAATATTAATGTCTAGCCGGCAAAGTGAAATTCCCCCCAGTGATTTTGCAAATGACTAGAAAGTTAACCTTTTGCCAACGGCTCCTTCTGTGCATGGAGATTATTAAAAAGAATCCAGGCATTTATAAGTATGGGCTTTTAAAGACTGAAACACCTTGGCTTGACCCTTTGTGTCTCTTTCTGTTTATTCAGGCTTGGCCTCTGTGGCTGGAATGTGTGAGCCTGAAAGGAGCTGCAGCATTAATGAAGACATTGGCCTGGGTTCAGCTTTTACCATTGCACATGAGATTGGTCACAAGTGAGTGAGTTTAAGAAAATCAAAATAAATTTTAGAACTCCGCTCTTGAGCAACTTGTAACTACTGTGTGGAAAGGCTGTGCTGAACCTTATTTTACTGCCTTTTTGTCTGATTCCAATAGAGGATGTTATTATTTTGGGTATTGGGATAAATCATCTTAAGAACTGGAGACTTGTTAGATCATCTTTGTTATTCAATGAGTAGTGTCCTCAGTGGTGAATGCACCACGTTTAAGTTTTTGTTCAGTCTCCTCGATACCTGTTTCCTTATAAAGTCCAGTTGTTTAAATGATCTTTCTTTTCCTCAAGTGACAATGCATATATATTTTAAAATCATTGACACCACTACCATAAAATGTAGTTTTAGTTTTCACTCTTCATAGAGCTGTCAGCATCCCTTTTCCAGGCATAAAGTTTGTGCAGACATTGCTATGTAACTTGTATTTTCAGGTGCGTTTGTATGTCATTGAAAAAAATAACTGTAAGAAGTACACGATACCATCCTCCTTTCTTCCTAGGAGAACCTGAAGGTTTTAATGTTTGTTTTAAGTGAACCTGTGCCAAAGGAAAAACTATCTTATGCACCCTGCCCCCGACCCATGGCAAAAAATACCATTTAAAATTTTAAACAACAGGCAGTAGTAATTTGAAAGCCTGTTCATGTGGAAGGAGAGAAGCTTGATAATACTTTTTTAAAAAATTTCAACATTTGTGTTGAAATTTGACTGAACGATGACTTGCCTCAATTAGTCAATTTCTAAGCTGATTCTGACGCTCTTATAAAGGTAAAAACTAAACAAAGGAGCTTCCAATTTACTAACAGGATTTTTTTTTAAGCAGGGAAGCTCTTCTAAAACAGAAACAGTTAACATTTAGCAAATGACTAATTATATCTGCTTAAAAAAATGAGAGAAAACTTTAAAATGTTAGTCCAGCATTTTTAGCTAAAACAAGCAGCTTACTTGCAAGAACTCCTGACATATTTATAATTTAAGTTTTATAATCTACTTTTTTGGTGGCGACGTAGCTAGGGGAAAAAGAACAAATAAAAATCAATGTTTTTAACCAACATTCAAGACCCATCTAAAATGCCAATTCTTCCATTAAACTTTTAAAAATTCTTAAAAAAAAATCAATGTTTATTATATAATTGCCTCACAGGTAATTCCTGAGGTAAATCTGTAGTTCAGCTTTTTTTGTTGTTGTTGGAGAGTAAAACTGGGTCAGTTGGCTGCATTATTTCAAAATTGCAATCAAATTTTATCAAATTGATATTGATTTAGGTGTAAATTTAAATAAACAGCAAGTTTCAAACCTGGCTTGATTCAGACACAGGAAAAGTCAATATTATACTCTTAATGAAGACTGAAAAGTATTGATGTTCTACTTTCCATTGTAATAAACATCAGGTGAATAAAAGGAAAAAGACCTCTTAACCAAGCAGTTTATCTTTAATTCACTTAAAAATCTGGCTAATTAATGACTGTCATACTCCTATGCAATCAAACTGAATTTAATAGGTTCTGTTAGATTCAGTTAAATTGGAAGGTTAGGAAAAGTAACATACAGTGGGTGAACACTTGTGTATGTGAAAACACTATTATCTTATGTAGTCACAAGTTAATGTCAACACACACATTTCACGTTCCTTTCTTGTATGTACATACTTAAATAGTTGAGGTGAGGGTTTATCTTTCTTTGTATCTTTTATAAAGATTCTGATTGGGCAACTTCCCAGGCTTCCTAGATTTTGTTGTTGTTGTTGTTGGCCTTATAGATAAATCTTTTCAATTCTTCCTACAATGAATGGCTTGTACCTTATGTAGAAAAACTGTGAAACAGAAATAGAATATACCTCTGAAGTTTTATGTATCTTGGAGTAACTTTGTTTCATAGTTAACTCTTGTTTGAAAGTATGAGTGTTAAAAATGGCAAAAAAATCCACAAAATCCTTGGATTGAGAGCCAGAAAAATGCTTCCATTTAAAAATGTTGTTTGACAGACAAAAAAAAAAAAAAAATAGCTTTTTCCCTATGTCCAGTTTATCACCATGTTACTGTCCCCCTTCCCCAGACAACTGGGCAGATGTGTTTAGCATATATTGTCTGTTTTGTGTTGCTCTAAAGGAATACCTAAACCTGAATAACTCATTTAAAAAAGCAGTTTATTTGACTCACAGTTCTGCAGGCTGTATGAGAAGCATAATGCCAGCATCTACTTCTAGTGAGGGACTCAGGAAGCTTCCACTCATGGTGGAAGGCAAAGCAAGAGCCAGTGCACCACATGGCAAGAGAGGCAGCAAGGGAGATGCTGTGCTCTTTTAAACAACCAGCTGTCATGTGAACTCATAGAGCAAGAATTCATTCATTCCCCCCAGGAAGGCACCAAGCCAATTATGAGGGATCTGCCCCCATGACCCAAATACATCCCACCAGGCCCCACCTCCAGTATTTGGGATCACATTTCAATATGAGATTTAGAGGGAACAAACATCCAAACTGTATCAACATACTATTTTTTTCAATTAATATGTCAAATTATTATTTGGTCAGTTAGGGAAAATCTGTTTCATATGTGAAGATTCCTTTACTTGCTTTTAAGATCTTAGGGTTTAGCCTTCAGGAACTTAGCAGGTCAACTCTGGCACAATTCATGTTATCATTAAAATACAGTGATCTCTATTTTTCCTGAACCAAAGCAGTAGCCATAGTAAATATATCAAATATATTTTCAGATGAAGTATACTGATTTTTTGTGACTCGTATCCTTTACGAGAATGGATGTTAAGTGATGTGATGATATCGGCAGATTCATTACAGTGAAGAATATTTGACCATAAATTACTGAGAAGAGCCCCCTCTGAGTAACTAGACTGTGTGAATATTTTCTCCCTTTCTTTAAATTGTGTAGAATATGGTTTTGCACACAGTGTATACTTGTGCAGGGATATAATATCTATTTAAAATAGCTGTGAGATAACATTTTCTTTGGCTAAGCCTTAGTGACCACTTTTATTTCTCTCCATCCTCTCCATCCTTTTGTGAAAACAAGAAATTAGTTTCGTTGTCAAATGAAAAATTGTGGTTTTTTTACTATATTTAAATGACACGTCTAGGTTTAATATAGGCTATAAGCCAAAGGCACTTAATGAAATCTTATAGGAAAGAATGTTCTTTGAAAGATTTAAAAAATTAATTATGTAGTTGCCATGAATTTTATAAGTTGAAAAGATTATGATGTCAAAGAGGGGTGGCAAGAATGCAGCCAGACATCTGGTATATTGAGAAAGCTATCTAGTGTATCTAAACTGTACAAAAACAAATAATCTTAATAAGGGATCTTAAAAATACTCATTTTTTGGTTATGAATGCATACTGAAGTATGTGAGACTGAAGTGACATGAGGTACAGGATTTTCTTTTAAAAGAAAGGAAAAAAAGAGAAAACAAGAATAGCAACATCTTGAATTTTATTATCTTGATGATGTGTTTATGGAAGTTCATTATGCCACAGTTTCTACTATTGTATATGTCTGATTTTTTCCACAAAATGAGTTCTAAGATCATACATTGTTCAGGTGTGGCTTAACTCATTTCTTAATCATGACTGAGTGAACTTTAATATTGAGAGAATTTTTAAAGTATTACAATTTGTAGTCAGACACCGTGGCTCATGCCTGTAATCCCAGCACTTTGAGAGGCCAAGGTGGAGGATTGCTTGAACCCAGGCATTGGAGACCAGCCTGGGCAACATGGCCAAACCCTGTCCCTACAAAAAATACAAAAATCAGCCAGGTGTGGTGGCATGCACCTGTAGTCCCAGCTACTCGAGAGGCTGAGGTGGGAGGATAGATAAGCCCAGAAGATCAAGGCTGAAGTGAACCATGATCATGATCATGCCACCACACTCCATTCTGGGTGACAGGCCAAGACCCTGTTAAAAAAAAAAAAAAAAAAAAGAAAGAATGAAAAAAGAAAAAGAAACCTGTATTGAAAGCTGTAGGGATATATTGGTCTTGCTTTAGGAAGTAAATATCAGTATTTTGTCTTAACCATAGGAATTCTCCCTGTGGATTAGTTAGGAGATGGGTTTTAATGTTAGTTTTATAAAATGAATTAGGAAATATTTTCTAGAATAGTTTGCTTTCCCATAAGTACATTTTAAAACATTATTTAGGTATAATTTACATACATTAAAAATGCACCCATTCTGTTTATGATTCATTGAGCTTTGGCAAAGTTGTATAACCATGTCCCACCACCACAGTCAAGATATGAACATTTCTATTATCTGAAAAAGTCCCCTTTACAGTTAATTTCTACCCTCTTCCCCACTCCTTCATCCCCAGACAACCATGGATCTCCTTTTTATCACTATAGATTAGGCTCACTTTTCTATAGTTTCATATAAGTGGAATTACTCAATGGGTACTCTTCTGTGTCTAGGTTTTTCCCCTGAGAATAAGGTTTTAGGAGAGCCATCCATGTTGTTGTGTATATCAGTAGTTCACTTTTTTTCTGAATAGTAATCCATATCACATCACTTTTCTGGTTGTTTTTAGTTTTGTGCTATTATGGATAGAATTATAATGCAGATCTGTTCATAATTATTTGTACTGATGTAAGCTTTCATTTCTCTTGGGTGATACTGTTGGTAGCATGGTGTTAGTTTAATGATGTTAGTGATGGTGAGCAATTTGCATGTGCTTCATATACATCACTCATATATCTTTGAAGTGTCTGTTCAAATCCTTTTCCCACTTTAAAAAAATGGGTCGTTTTCTTCTTATTGAGCTGTATTATGGATAAAAGTCTTCATCCTATTTATGTGTGTATTATGTGTATACATATACACACAATACACACATAAATAGGATGAAGACTTTTATCCAAAATATATAATATATATAACATATAACATATATTCATCCATAATATATAACATAAAACATGTATAGTTTATATTTGTGTGTATATCATCATTTTCTCCTCATCTGTTGCTT